CCGCGCTCGAAGGGCGAGACCGCCGACGCCCGCGCCGACGCCGCCATGTCCCATAGCTGCTGCGCGCGCATGTTCACCATCTCCAAGAGTATGTCCAACGCTTGCTGGATGTCAATCGCCTTCAAGGCCCCTTCCACTTCTGCCAACTCGTCGACGGCGTCGCCTGCCACCTGTCCGGGCCGTCTTCGTTTTGCCTGAAGCTCCCCCCCGGCGGGCCACTGCGCCATGGCCTCGCGCCCCTGCCGCGGGGCGTCTAGGTCCACGTCCGCGGCGCAGCCGTCTGCGTGCAAGTTGAGGCGCAGGCAGCGAACAATGCGTCTGAATGCGAAGCTGGAGAGAATGCAAGTCTTGAGCCGAGTATATGCATGCCGGGCAGGCCAGCGTCGGGGGTGGGATAATCAATCTCATTTACCGTGTACGAGCTCCTCTCCACTGCGCACCAGTCTCGCTGGCGAGATCTCGCGGCGCGCCCCTGCGCGTTCTCCCGAGAGCCCAACGCCTGCAAACATAAACAACATCAATGATTGGTCATCGCCAACGTGCCGGCCTTGTTTCTGATCGCGCGGGCCCGTCCAGCGCGCGGCAGAAGTTTCTTCGGCGTCGCAACGCGCCCCCCGCTGGCCCCGCCCTCCGTCGTCGCGAGTTTCCACAGATAGGGCCCCGCGAGCACCGCGTCGCCAGGAGCGTCGTCGCCGAGCGAGCGCTGAGCCTTCAACCCAGGAGGGGGGGCCGACTGCGAGAAAGCCTGCGCCCTGAGAATCGAGGAATCGATGTCGGCCCACGCGTCGATGCCCCGATCGAAGAGGGGCTCGAGGAGCGGGCGGCCGAGGGGGGGAAGATACTGGAGCCCCTCAGAGCCCTCGAGACCGAAAGGGAGGTCCTCGAGCACCTGCAGAGCCCAGGGGGTGGCATTTTCAACCAGCGTCCAGGACGAAGCGACCGCCTCCTCGGAGCCCAGGCGCCCAGACACATCTGCCCTGGCTTGACGGTCAGCCTCGGGGCACCTGCACCAACTCTGATACCGGCGCAGACGCCTCACCCTCAGCTCCTCGGCGAAACGCAAGATTCGCCGGCGTGCCCGCGTGCGCCCCGCCAACCAGCGACTGAGTTCGGCTCGCCGTGATCCTCGAGGCCGAAGACGCCCGCCCCCCCCATTGTCGCCCGCGGCAAATGCTGATCAGCTGCTGCGCAAAACGCTCAACAAAGTCGAGTGTCTCAGGGAACGCGTGATCTTGCCGAGTCCCACCCGGCCTGCCTGGGTCCTTTTCAGGATTCCAACCTGAGTGATCCTCTCGTCGTAAGCCGGCCCCCGAGCACTCTCACGACCCCCGCACTCCGCCCATGGTTTCGAAGGCCCTGCTGAAGACCGACCTTCGCTGCCCATGAGCCAGGGCCGACGAGTTTGACCAGGGGGGCCCCTCGTTCTTTTTGTTCAGGATTCAGGGCGACTCCGATCTTGGCCAGGGCCCGCCGTGCATGATCGCTGCTGGCGCGAACAAGAGCCAGCGGACGACGCGCTTCACCTCCCATCCGCTGTGGAGGCGGACCTGGCACTGGGATGACATGCTTGATGATGTCATCCGCGACGAGGAACAGGCCGACGCACGTCGCGACTCCGTTCGGCTTGGTGACCAAAGCCATGGGGCAAGAAGTCGTGCGTTGAGGAACCACGAGGAAAAGCTGTAATCCACATGGGTAGAAATATGGAAAGCCTCGCGAAGCATTTGGATGGCCCATGAAGTCGCCCGACCCCGGGCACGAGCTTATCGTCTTGTCTGGGGTGATGGTCTGACAGGCGATTTGAATGATACGCCGATGTTGAAACCTGACATATTCCTCCAAGTAAAGCAGGGACAACGTGTCCAGCATGATGCCGCGCGATGCTCGAGAATGCGCACCTGTGTTGTCGACCACGCGTGGGTAGCCCTGCCTCTGCAATCTCCAAGACGTACAACACTGTGTGAGAATCGCGCCCTCCTGTCCGCGCTTCTTCGCAATCCACGGCAACCACGTGGTAGAATGTTCAGGGCGCCGTCGAGCTGTGACCCATGGATGCGAGTTCCACGCTGTGCCCAACGGGCAGAACAAGTGAATCACCCTTGACTCTCGGCGCCAGACATGCCGGCGCGTTTGTCCAGGCCGCAGCGCGCCGACATATTTATCTAACGTCAGAGGCGTCGCCTTCGTTCTTCGAGGACTGGCTGGCAGGTCCAGGAAGCGCTCGTTCGACGCCGTGGCCGACGCTGGGCGCAAGTCCGCCCCGAAACTACCTCTTCGAATTTGTTCCCCAACACTCTTCATGAATACAAAAGAGCCATAGCTCGGATGGGAGAGACCATGTCGGAGATGCCCTCCTCTTTGGAGCCCGTCGTAGCAGTCGAAATTGACAGTCGAATCCTGGCGCGCATCCGATATGCGCTCGAACTGCATCGCGTTGCAGCGCACCTCGTCAGAAGCATCCCAACCATCAGCATGAGGACGGTCAAACCATTCAACGAACTCCTTTTGCAGGTCGCGCTGGAAGGCGCCCTGTCCGCATGGAGTCGCGGACCAACACAGAGGCCCGGATATCTCCTGGGCTTAGCTGTTCTCGGACTTCAGCAAAGTACTTTCTGCGTCGCGGTCCGTGCCTCTCCTAGACATGCGACGAATAATGCGCTGCGCGTTGTAGTGGTCGTGAGACGCTCACGCCTCGTTCAACCCAGCTGTCCAGGATGCTTCTCGCCCCTTGTTGATCAGCTTCGATAAATGACGAATGCGAAACGTGGCCCGAGCAAGGTGGCAATCCAAATCGCATCTCTGCCCCAGACAGGCCCCCTCCCCCCCGGGGGACGAACAGGTGGCTCCAAGACCCTCGACCCCCCTTCAGGATCAGACGGGACTGAAGGGTCCGCGGGACCAGCCAGGCCAGGGGGCGCCTCGGGGTCCTGGGGCGGGGTCCTGGAAAGGTACGACACGGCGATCAGCCTGAGTGCCATGCGGAACAAAACTGCTAGACTGCCCGACGCGCTGGCCATTGAACTGCTTCCTGACCTTAAGTAGCGACGACCTCACCACTTCCACAGGCGACAGCTCGCTCTCAAGGTTCGACTGCTTATTGGAAATCTCAACCGCCTTCCCGACCATCAGCCTCACGACCGAGTTCCATGCTGCATCGACGGTCGCCCTCGCGCACAAACTGAGTCATTCCTCCCCGGAGATGGAATTGACCGTCGGATGTATAGACCCTATCGCCGCTGTACAAGAGATGCCGCCCCTAAAAAGATGTCGTGGTTCGGTCGTAATCCCAGGCCGACGGTCGGTCCGCGAACTGCGCCTGAAAGTCGCATCAAACTTCGATCAATATGCGTCGATGCCCTCGGTCGCCCAAGGCCAGTATAGGTTGTAATCGCCGTCCCGCTCCGTGTAAAATAGCACAATGTTTGACGTGAGGGCGCAATTGTCGAGGAATCGCAATAACGTCAATTCACGAGGAGGAGTCGCCGACACCGAAGAACGTCGGGCACAGCGGTTTGAAAGTGCGGATTGCGCACATGTGAATATCCACCACCATCTGACGTAGTGCGCAGTCAACCACATCTTCAGTGCCCCTGTCGAACGGGCCGATGCAGGGCCACTCCTCGTCCTCATCGTCGTCAACAGGAATCGCCTCAACTTCATAATAAAAAATCTCGAGCGTTGCCCAAGCCATCGTTCGAGTCCATACCAAGAATCGGTGTGCACCTTCCTCCCACGAATTGCAGTTTATGCCCAATCCAACACGCCATTATGTTGACAATGCGTCGCTGTTCAGCACGACGAACTCGGACGATCAAGTCGGCTGGATCGTAAAGTAAAGCGAGTCACGCGTCAACCGCTCCCGAGTTGAATGACACGGCGCCGCAACGCCCTTCCAGCTCCACGGGCGGGGCATACATATGTCGGATAAAGCGTTGCGAACAAAAACTTGAGAACGCAACAACATACTTACTGGTTCCACAAGCTTTAGCCGAGGACTTCGAGAAACCCAAACATGTTTCACAAGAATGGCGAAATAGTGGATGCGGTTCGTCAGCTCCGTTTCGCGTGCAAGTCCCCTGTAAAAACACAACCCCCACATTGCCAAATTCAGGTGACAACTCTTCCCCGCGGAAACCACAACAACTGCATGGGATTGTACGATACTGCACGAATGCGTCCCCCAAAAAATGGGGAGACCGGCGCCTATGGCGGGAAGTCTGCGGCGGCAGCGGGCGTGGCTTCTCCTTTTCACGAAGAGCGCGGGCCCCAGATGGGGGTAAAAAACATCGTTGCCTCTGAATGGGGTGCCTTGGCCAGTAAAGTAGCCGCGAAGGGATGTGGGATTCAAGCCGCAACAACAACTGGAGAAAGAGGAACAGGAGGAGGAGGAGGAGGAGGCGGAGGAGGAGGAGGGGAGGAGGAGGAGGATGAGGAGACGCACGCAGACAATGCCACTGGGGCCTTCGGTGGCTGGGCTGGAGGTGGCGCATGCGGACGGTGCCACAGGGGCTTTCGGTTGAGCTCCCTATGGGACCACGAAGCGCTGTGCTGGATGCGGAAAGTTCATGCGGACGGTGCCTGGGGCCTTCGTTGGAACGCTCTCTGAGACCCAGCAGCGTTGTACTGGGTTGGGGGGACGCATGCGGACGGTGCCAATGGAGTTTTCCGTGCAGTTCCCTACGAAACCACGAATACTGCGTGAGGGAGACGCAATCAGACGGCGCAATTGAAGCCCTAAGTGGAGCTCCCGGTGGGGCTACAAAGCGCTGTACTGGGTGGGGGAAACGCATGCGGACAGGGCAGCTCGGGCCTTCGGTGGAGCTCTCCATGGGGCCACGAAGGGTGTGAGTGCTGGGTCGACTGGGACATGCGGGGGAGGGAAAAGGGGAAGGGCAAAAGGGGGGCGGGGGAGGAGGGGGGAGGACATGGGCCGTTGTGTGCTGTCTCTTCAAAACGTCGACCCGACAACAAGCTGGTTTGGAAAAGTTCGCGGGGACCGCCTGCGACACGTCCCCCACGAAGGGGCCCACCTTGCCGCTCGAGCCCCCCGGCGCCGTGCAGTAGAGGAGGTCCCAGACGCCTGCTAGGCGGGCGCGTCTGCGTCTCGTGGTTCCTCTCGTGGCCCCTCCTTCAAGATAAATTGTGGTTGCTCCTCCGTCATCCTCGTCCTCGTGGTCGTCGTCGCCCACCTCCTCCTCCTCCTCCTCCTCCTCCTCCTCCTCCTCCTCCTGCACTTTGTTTCGCCGGCTCTATCTTCTCACTACGTAGCACCCCGCAGTTGCGGATAAGAGCGGGGGAGGGGCCTCGGGAACGTCGCCAGTCTGCGAAGCTCTGAATAGAACCCAAAAGGAACGCCGCAGGCGCAAAGTTTTCAAACTACACAACGAGCCCGCCGCAAGCGCCGATAATTGTTAAAACGATGCGGGTGGGTCGCGGATTGGGTCGCAAACGGGTCGCGTCGCGGGTGGGTCGACGGTGGGTGTCGGGTGGGTCGCGGGCTGGGTCGCGGGTGGGTCGCGGGCCGGGTCGCGGGTGGGTCGCGGGTGGGTCGCGAACGGGTCGCGGGGTGGCAACATCAACAATCATTCTAAGACTGTTCGCTCTTACTTGCCCGCGTGTCATTCCAAACGAGTTCCCCACACCCTCGATACCCGCCCTTTTGTCTTCCATCACACCCCCTTTGGGGGGATTATTTCTCTTTGCGGGGGGCGGCGGGCTTAGACAGGCGGGCAAAACTTAAAGGGCGGACAATCCTTCGTGGGCGTACATGTGCCCGCCATTGGACTTGGTGTGCACCCTGCAAAAAGAACAAGGGAAAAACGAGGGAGAGTGGGAGGAAGGGAGGGGGAGGGACGAAGGGAGAGGGAAAACGCCAAGAGAGAAGGAGCGAAGAGGGGGGCGGTTGATTAGAGGCAGAAAGAGAGAGAGAGAGAGAGAAAAAAACAAAAAGAGAGAGAGAGAGAGAGAGACAAAAGAGTGAGAGAGAGAGAGAGATAAAGAGAGAAATACATATAAGAGAGGTATATAATGATATACAGAGAGAGAGAGAGAGAGAGAAAAAAAAAATAAAAAATAAAAAAATAAAAAAAGAGAAAGAGAGAGAGATAGAGAGACACAAAAGGAGAGCAAAGAAAGAGAGAGAGAGAGAGAGAGAGAAAGAAAGAAAGAGGGAGGGAGGAGGCAGGAAAGGGAGAAGGAAGGAGGGTGAGGAGGGAGAGGGGATAGGGCAGAGAGGCATAAGGATGAGGAAAGAGAGGAGGGAGAGAGAAGGGATGAGAGGAGGGAGGGAGGAGGGAGAGGGAGGAGGAGCAGGAATGTAACAGCGTGAACGTTCGAGGAAGTCCTAGGCGAAAGCGCCGTTCCTGAAGGAAGTCTCGGGCGGGAGCCCACGACGGGCGGGCGATCCCCTGACGGGCGGGTCGGGCGGGTGGGACATTCAAGCGGGATGCCTGAGTATGGCGAGAGCGCGATTGCCAAGTAAATTGTAACGGCGTCCTTGGCGCAGCATGTTTCCTGAGCGTTGAAAGCGCGATTTCTGAATAAATTGCATGGGGGTCACAGGAGAGAGCGCACTTCCTAAATAAAATGTGAAGGGTTCTCTGGCGGGAGCGGTGGTCTTGATTACATTGCGAGGAAGTCTTGATTCAATTGCGAGGAAGTCTCAAGCGGGAGCGCCGTTCCTGAGTAATTTGTGAGGAAGTCCCAGATGGGAGAGGGGGTCCTGACTAAATTGCGAGGAGGTCACAGGCGAGAGCACGGATCCTGAGTAAATTGTGAGGAAGGCTCAAAAGCGGAGTCCTGAATAAATTTGGAGGAAGTCTCAAGCGGGAGCCGTTGTTGTTGTTGTTGTTGTAATCCGGAGAGCTGGGGGCACAGTTTGACCATCAAGACTTCCCCTGCCAAATCACAGGGTGCGACCGTCGAGGGGCAAACTTTGATTGAGAAAAAACAGTATGCACCAGTGAGGGGGGATCAACAATAATTATTCTTCAGAACTGAAAATTCAACAACAAGAACAATAACAAGAACAAGAACAACAACAACAACAACAACAACAACCAACAACCAACAACCAACAATCAACAACGAACAACCAACAACAACAACAACAACAACAACAACAACAACAACAACAACAACAACAACGCAACAAACGTAATCCTCACAACGGATCCGCACTTCAGCCACGCACCCAGGGACAATGAATGACCCTTCGATCCCCTCACTCCGATTCCTCCACCTCTTCCTCCTCCTCCTTCATTTGCCTGTACCCCCCCTTTGCTAATCCATCATCCTCATCATCCGCCGTCATCCTCCTCATCATCAGCATCAGCATCAGTATCATCATCAGCATCATCATCATCACCAGCATCAGCATCAACATCAGCATCAACGTCATCGTCCTCATCCTCATCTTCATCCTCATCATCGGTTCCTCCATCCCTCCTTCTTCCCGCCACCTTCCACAAACATCCGTGAAGTTACACTCCCGGCGAGATGAGGACCACGGGGTTGACACCATCCAACTAAATCCTGAACAGCCCACAAAGGCTTCTGGTGTGGGCAAGGAAGCCTCCCGACCCCCAAGGGAGGAAGCGGGAAGAGGACGAGGACCGCGGATGAGCATGAGAACCGCCGGAGGAGGATGGCCATGGGCGGTGTGTCTTCGATAGTGCTGGGCATTGGCCTCCCTGTCCCCTGGAGGCGAGCCATTGAAAATCAAGGGGGGCGAGCACGAAAACATGCGCAAACGAGGGCTTTCCCCCCTCCAGGGGGGCTCTCCTCTTTAGGTCCTCATCGTGCGCCGACCGCCGCCGTACTTCGCGACGTCGGCGAAGGAGGGGGGAGGGCCGTAGGAGAACCGCGCGGCTGCGAGAGGGGGGCCCCGAAACCCGTTTGGTGACAGACCGGGTGGTGACCTCGGACCCCCACCGACCTCACCCACCGCCCAGTCCCTCGCCGCACGGTGTTGGGATGAAGTCGGGCGTGTCCCCCTGCAGGGGGACTCATGGACGGAAAATTATAAACACTCAAAAACTATCCAAAAATGAACGAAAATACTGAAAACAAGGAGTCCCCAGACTATGTTTTTACTATTTCTGGCTGTTCCCCCTGTAGAAGGACAAGCCCGACTTAAGCCCAGCCCCTCGCCGCACGGCGCCGGGACCTCGGCTGCCCCAGCCGCTCGAGGCCTCCTCGGAGAACGGCCCGGGGCCCAAAACCGGGCGCGGACCCGGAGCCCCCGCTGACTCACCACGCGGCGCGCCCCAGCGAGGAGGAGGAGGAGGGAGAATGAGGAGGAGGATGAGGAGGATGAGGAGGAGCAGGAGGAGGAGGAGGAGGGAGGATGAGGAGGAGGAGGAGGAGGAGGAGGAGGAGGAGCAGGAGGAGGGGGAGGAGCAGGAGGGGGAGGACGAGGAGGAGGAGGAGCGGCGAATCCGCGCTGACTCACCAGATCGTTCGCCCCCCCCCCCCGGGCCGGCAGAGGCGCCCATCCCGCAGCCCGCCAGGGAGCCGGGCCCCTGCTGGGGGCCGCTCGAGGGCGCCCGCGCGCCAGGTCGTCTGGCTCCGTGTCGTGCGCACTGGACAGGCAGAGAGAGAGAGAGAGAGAGAGAGAGTTGAGTCGGGCGAAAGGTGGGGATAGCAAAGGGGGGGGTTGAGAATCAGCTCACGTAGCTGATTTTCCCAGCGCCTCCCGTCGCCGGCGGCGGCCACGTGTCGAGGAATGGGCCCCTCGGCGGGGCCGAAACCAGCTGCATGCAGCAAACTTCGTAACCCCCCCTTTCCCTATCCCCCCCCTTTCGTTCGGCCCGAGAGAGACGACTCGGGGCGGACGATAGGTAAGACAGCAAAAGGTAGGTTGGAGAATCAGCTCGCGTAGCTGGTTTCCCTGGCGCCTCGGAGTACCGGTAGGCGCCCACATGCGTCGAGGAATGGGCCCGGAGGCGGGGCCGACACCAGCTGCACGCAGCAAATTTCGTGCCCCCCCCCATTTCCCTATCCTTCTGCAGGTTCGTGTCGTGTCGACCCCAGCGTTTGTTTCTGACGCCGCGGGGATCGATCAACCTTGAACGATCGTTCGTTTCCCAAATGTCAGATCGTTCAACATTGGTCGATTCTGGGTCGCCGGCGGCGTCCAACGTTGAACGCTGGCCGCGCGGTCGCCGCCGGTCGACATGACGCGAGCCTATCGTACCCTGTCGTCCGGCCTGGGGAGCAAGAGAGATCGCAGAACTTCATGACGGAGGAGGTCTGGTTCCTCCTCCCTGCTCCTTCCTCGGTGCATCGGCCCCTAGGTGTCCACCGGCACATTCTGAGCAGAATCTCAGGGCGGGTCCGGCCCTGGCGAGAAGGCCCCCCCGAGGATGCCCAGAAACGTCCGAAGCCATTGATGCAGAAACCCTGATCTCAAGAAGATGTTGAAGGTCAAGGCAGGATAAGTCATCGTCGGATCCGATCGGAGAAAAGCGTCCGATCTGGCCGCATCGACACAGGATCGGAATCGAATCGGACCGGCTGCGCTGAGATGCTCCAACACTGCCATGCGAACATCGAGCCGCCGCGGATCGCCAGAACATCGATATTGAATCGGATCGAACCGGCCGACATCGATATCGATCGGGTCGATCGGAATGAAGTGGACTTTGTCTGGGTCAAAGAATCGATGGAATCCTGGATGGCTCTGTGCTCGGGCCGAGGAGGCACCCGGGCCCGAGGTCATCCTGGAATCCACAGAGGGCACCGCCCCCTCAAGGTTCGAGGCTCGCAGCCCGTTATGTCTTGCTTGCGGTCTTGGGCCGTTCAGCCCGAGGGCCACGGCGGAACCCCGCTCGGAACGCACCCCGCGAAAGGCCCATGGAGGCGATGCTCCAGGCTCGCCGTGGAAACATCCCCCGCACACAGACACCCGGCGGCTCGAAAGGATCGGAACGGCCCATTTTTCGCCATCACATCTTGGGCCTCCCGGGGCAAATCTCGGGCCCGGACACGTCACGTCACGATTCGGAAGAGAAGCGGGCGAATGGGGAACGCGCCGAGGAGCCCCGGGGCAACCGCCTCGAAACAGTCGGACCGCCGATGTCTGGGCCGCCATCGCACCTCGCACCTCGACCCTCTCCCCCAGAGCTGAACCGAAACGGTGTTGTTCGGTTTCGTTTTGTTTCCGTTTTCCCTCGCTTTGTCTTCACTCCACCCCCTCCGCAAAACGAAATCGAAACGGCAACGGCCCGTGAAATCGCCAAAACACCGTTCAGGTCAAGCCCTGCCCCAATGCTCATTCCCCCCCCCACCGGAGGGCACTTGGTGGGCCCTGGAAACGACAGGGCTTTTTCTACCGGTTCCGTTTTGCTGTTTTTTTGCCGGCTCCGACGCTGTCTTTTTACCGGTTCCGTCACCGTTCTTTTACGGGCTACCGGAACGAGGCGCGGCACGCGAAGCAGTCCACGGGCTTCCTCCCGGAAGGACGAAGACAACTTCCGGAGGTCGATTTTAGCAGCCACGGATTTAGCAGCCGTTGCCCGGCTTCGGATAGATGGTGTCCGAGTAGATGGGGTCGGAGGACCGTGCCGCTCATCGGCGACGCGTCGGCGATGGATGCGGCTCGATGCGGAGCCCGCTTTGCCTCATGTCGACGTCGCCGATGCATCGCCGACGTCTCCGAGGGGCCCACCGAGGGAGGGCACCCGCTGCACTCACGGGAGGGCCCCTCGAGCCAACCCCAGCGGCTCCCCCGCCCGGCTGGCGCCTCTTAGGGACTCCGACCCCTCGGGGATCCGCCCGGAGCCCTCGCGCGCGGCGCCCGCCGCGGCGATCGAGCGCCCCGCCCCTCGGGCCGGGCGCAAGGGGGGCATCGCAAAGCGGGGGGGGCTTGAGGATCAGCTCGCGCAGCGGATTCTCACGGCGCCTCCCGGCGCCGGAGGCGGCCATGCATCGAGGCATGGGCCCCTCGGTGGGGCCCGAAACCTGCTGCGCGCAGCAGATTTCGTACCCCCCCCCTTTCCCAATTCCCCCCTGTCGTCCGGCCCGAGCCATGAGGCAACAACAAACATGAAACAGGAGGAGGAGGAGGAGCAGGAGGAGGAGGAGGAGGAGGAGGAGGAGGACCAGGAGGAGGAGGAGGAGGAGGAGGAGGAGGCGGAGGCGGAGGAGGGGGAGGGGGAGGAGGGGGAGGAGGAGGAGCGCACACGGCGGGCCGCCGGTGTCTCGACAAGGTCCTCCTCCGACCCCTCGGAGTGTACAGCCTGGCTCCCGGGCCGCAGCGCTGCCCGGGGGCCGGCATATGCGCAGGGCGTCTTGCCCGCAGGTCCAGGCGCACGCCCCGGCAGGACCCGTCGATGCCGCAGCGAGGCCCACGAGGGGGCCGATCGCCTCCGAGGCCACCTGGCCGAGCTGGCAGGCGCCTCTGGCCATCGCTCGGGCGTCCACTCCCTGTGCTGTTCTTGGTGTCGCGCGTGGATTTCTCGCCAAATGATCAAGGATGCTCCTCGATGGTCCTCGCCGAAGGAAAAATGCACACGTCCGAGCGATGCCAAGGCCTGCACGTGGGGGGGCCCGAGGGCCCCCCGAGGACCTCCGCGGAGCCCGAGAGGAGGACGGCCGCCGCCTGCGACCGCTCCCGTCGGCCGCGCCTGCGCTGATAAATGTGGTGGCGATGACGGCCACACCCGCGACGAAGACGCCAACGACCACGACTGCGACCACAACGACGACGACGACGACGACGACGACGGCGACGACGACGACGACAATGACGACGGCGCCTGTCAGGGGCGTCCGCGCCGGCTGTGGGCCGCACAGCGGGTCCAGCGCAGCCGCTGCGCCCTCGACGGCGGCCTTCTCGGAGTCGGACGCGCCCACTCCTCGAAACGACGACGACGACGGCGACGAAGACGGCGGCAGAGGCTCCAGCGGCAGCCCTAGCGGCGACGGCGACGATGACGGCGACGGCGGTGGCGACGACGACGACGACGGCGACGACAGCGGCGACGGCAACAACGACGACGGCGACGGCATTCCTCGGAAAGACGACGACGACAACGGCGGCGACAACGGCGGCAACGGCGGCGGCGGCGGCGGCGGCGGCAGCGGCACCAGAGGCGGCAGCGAAGACGACGGCGGAGGCGGGAGCGACGACGACGGCGAGGGCGGTGGTCATCTCGGGGTCCAGCTGGACTCTCGCGGCCAAGGACACCACGCCGCCACGAGGGCGCGCGGACGGGAGAGAGGGATTACAGTCAACCAGGATAGTAAGGATGCGTTATAAGGATGCAGGGGCGTTGGAACGCCATGTGGACGTTTTCCGTGCGGAGCGCAGCAGAATGCCGAAGGATGCCGAATACCGAAGGGGCAAGGATGCGCAAGGGTAGCCTTGGAAAGTTGCCCCATCCTTTCTATCATGGTTGACTGTAGTCAAGCTGGGCGCGCTCGTGCCATATCTGACACCCAGCCCGTCACACCCATCACTTCCCATTGCGCTGTTTTGGTACTGTCTCTATCCGCCGACGCGTGCCATAGGGGACCCAAGGGGATCCCACCGTGTTGTGCGCAAGCGGACACAGAGAGAGCTGCGTACAGTGGAGGTGGCGCGTGAGCAGGAGGATGAGCAGGAGGAGCACGAGGACGAGGAGGAGGAGGAAGACGAGGACGAGCTGCAGCAACAGAAGCTGGAGTAGAAGGAGCGGGAGAAGCAGAGGGGCCAGGGGAAGTCGGAGGAGGGGAACCGAACGGGGCAACATCGATGAAAACAGACTCCGTTCCAGAAGAGTTGCCATCGCTGGGGAGACAACGCCATTCTGAACAGCGGGGGCAGGCCGCCTTTCCGAGAATGTGGCCCACGCTGCAGCGGAAACACCATCCTGATGCACCGAAACCGATCGTATTTCCTTGCGGTCCGAAAGGGGGGTCCAGCTGAAAGGGGGTGTTGCACATGTATTGCGCCAGAGAATTGGATTGCATTGTACTGCAACAGTGTGTTGCACGCGAAAACCCGGCAGTGCATCTGCGCCCCAAGATGCATTGCACGCTCCAAATCTATTGCAACCCCACAAGTCTATTGCACCCAAAAAAAATCGCACCACCCCCTTGTCGCTGGACTCCCTTCTGTTGAGCAGGGGCCGACCGTCCCGGCATTCCTATAGGCATACTACGACATGTTCTTAGAACCCACAAATGTTCTAGGATCAGAAACAATGTTCTTAGAACATAAACCCGATGTGTTAAAACAAGACAATCTCAACCAGAAATGTTCAAAGACCATTTCGTGGAAACCACAAACGGTTCTCAGAACATTGTCTGGTAGGGCTATGAGCCAGGACGCTTCGCCACTGCTTGATCTTGGGTCAACCCGAGTCTTCAAAACAGCCGCAACACAAACCAATGCGTGAACTCCTGCGCTGCACACACACACACACACTGCGCGGAGCGGGCCGGACACCTCCAGGACAGAGCCAGGGGAGAGAGGAGAGCGGCACTCCGCCCGGGTGATTGCACGCATCCACGCAAACAAAGCCCAGCAAACAACGATGGCGCACGACATACACCTCTCGGAGGCCCGCGCGGACTTCCTGCATCTGCGCTGGACTGGCCTCCCTTGGCGCGCGGAGCGCGCCGGGGGCGGCGCCGGAGACGACGCCGGGGAGGCCCAGCGCCGATGCGAGAGGTCCGCGCGGAGCTCCGGAAGTGCATGCTCATGCAGTCTCCCTCTCTCAACCAGTCCTCGCACCCCCTGTTGGCCGCCCCCGTCCCTCCGCCCCCCAGTGACCAAATGGGGAGTAAAGTTCGCTGGAGGGGCAGCGTTGTTTCCAGGGCCAGATCCCCGTACGCTCGGCGGGCGCGCTTGATCGGTCAACAGCAATCCTTACCGCCGCCCTTCGCGAGAAGCTCTGATTTCAGGTTCGCTCTTGCCCACGATTGGGCTGCTCATGCTTGCTCTTGCCCTACATAAGCATTGCCCTCTCCCTCGTCGCCCCAGAAACACAGATCGCGTTCGCTGCCCCTCAGCGAGCTTCAAAAATTGGGCGCCCGAATTATCCGGGGTAACTCGGGTCCGGGGTAACTCGGGTTTGGATCCCCGAAAAAGGAACCCGAGTTAGCCCTGACCCGAGTTACCCCTGATGATGTGGGTCTCTGGACGCCCGAATTATCCGGGGTAACTCGGGTCCGGGGTAAGCCGGGTTCGGAGTCCCGAAAAACGAACCCGAGTTGGCCCTGACCCGAGTTACCCCCGATGATTCGGGGCTCTGACCAAAGGGATTCGGGCGGACCCCCGACGACGAGGCCGGCCGCGGCGGCTCCGTTCTTCGGCGCCTCGCCGCACCGCAGGCGCACGGCGCGCTTCGAGGCCGTGATCTCGGTGCGGCTGGGGCCCCCCAGGAGGCCCTGCCACCACGGCGGGTCCTGGAGCGCGCCCTTCTCGCGGAGCAGAGCCTCCAGACGGCCCTCCTCGGAGGGGGAGAGCTGCGGGGGGACTGGATTTTTTTTTGGGGGGGGCACTGTTGCCCGACCAGTTCGACACTTCGAGTTCACGCCCTCCTTGCAGCCTCCCGAGCCGCTGTGCGGGCTCGGGTGGCCTCCAAGCAGGGCCGAGGGGCCGCAGAGGCTGTCAAAGCCCCCCGCCTGGCCACCTCCAAAACATCCACGGCCTCCTGCCAGGGGGGGTGAACACCGAGCTGGAATCGGCGATGCGCCGATGCGCCAGCGGGAGCCGCAGGCTCCTGCGGGCGGGGCGGGCCACCCGGCCCCTCACCGGCGATGGAGTGGGTGTTTCGAGGCGTCCCCGCCGGCGCCTACATGACCCCCCCCCTGACGTTGCCCCCTTGGCCTCGTCCAGCGCGGCCACGCCGCCGAGCCCCCCGTCGTTGCACCCGCCGACGTAGACGCCGGGGCCCAGCCACACCGAGGGCATCGAGGTGCGCCCCGTGAGGCGGCCGAGCTCCGCCCGCACGGCGTTGCCCTCCTCCTCGAGATCGCACTCGTAGACCTCGAAGTCTACGCCGTACTGCTCTCGCAGGACCTTCTTCGACTTGAGGCAGAAAGGGCACGTGGAGAAGGAGAACATCATCACCCTGTTGGACCGGATCTTCCTGTCGATGAGCGCCCGCACGGCGTCCGAGTCGTACTCGCCCGCGACGCGGTCGGCGACGAACTGCTTGAAGCTGGCCAGTGGCCCGCTCTGCGAGATGCCAGACACGCGCTGCGCGAGCGACCCCGACTCCGCCCACTCTCGCGGCTCGCCCGCCCAGCCGCCGTTGGCTTCGGAGGGCACCTCGGACTGCATGCCCACGCGCGCCTTCTCGGCCGAGTAGAGGGCGTTGATGGCCGAGGTCACGAGCTGGTCCGGCAGAGGCCGCTCCTCCGGAGGGTCACAACCAGGACCTCTCCTGGGAGTGCAGTGCGAGGCGGGTGTCAGGTCAGATCTACCTCCTGGGGAACCGACGTCATGGGACCCCAGCGGGGCAGATATGGATACATGTTGGGCCCGTGGGGGCCCCGAAAGTACAGTCAACCCGTAGCACAAGGACGCATGACAAGGATGCATGGGCCTTGGAAGGGCGTTTCGAGGCTTCTCGAGCGGGGCGCGGCCATCGAAAGTGGCCAAGGATGGACCGAGGAGGCAAGGATGCAAGGGTGCCCTTGAGACAATTGCTCATCAATCCCCCAGAGGGCAGTTATGGATGAATCTCCTCCTCGGATCATGGGAACCAGTGCGGGCCAATTCCAACCAGTTTCCCAGGGCGGATCCGCACTGTGGCGGCGAGGGGCCAGCACGCGGCTCCAGAGTTAAGTCGGGCGTGTCCCCCTACAGGGGGATTTCCGACGATAAACGCAAAATACCCCAAACATAATCAAGAATTGTGCAAAAATAGTCTGTGGACTACTTTTGGGATAGTTTTTACCTTTTGGGGTATTTCTGGGGTATTTGTGAAGTATTTTATATTTGTCATCAAAAATCCCCCTGTAGGGGGACAGGCCCGACTTAACTCCAGAGATGCGAAGACGAGGCAGGGGCACTGGATCACCACGCCCCTTCGTCCCCACAAAGTTCCTTGACGCGTCCACTCGCCCTTCGGCGAACGCCCGCGCGCGCCTCCGAACGCCTCCGCGCCGCGCACGCCCACAACGCCGCCGCCGCCGCCGCCGCCGCCGCCTCCGCCGCCTCCGACGCCTCCGCAGCCGCCGCCGCCCGTCGTCGTCGTCGTTGTCGCCGTCATCGTCGCCGACGTCGTCGTCGACGTCGCCGCCGCCGTCGTCAGCGGCGTCGTCGTCGTCGTCGCCGTCGCCGGCCGCCGCCGCCGCCCGTCCGGCGCCTCCGCGCCGTGCCCGCCGCCAGCGCCGCCGCGGCGGCGGGCGCCGCCCAGGCCGGGGCGCCGCTCGGCCGAGCGGCCGCCGCGGGCGCGCCGCAGCGCCGCGCGCGCGGCGGGGCTCCGGCCGTCGGGGCCCGCGCGGCGGGCGGCGGGGCGGCGGCGGCCCGCGGCGCCGCCGCGGCCCGCATCGCTTGGGCCCGCGGCGCGGCAGGCGAGCACTCCGGCCGCGGAGGGCGGCGGCGCCCGTCGCCCCTGAGCCTAGCCGCGGTGGCTTCGTCCTGGTGCAGGAGGAGGAGGAGGAGGAGGAGGAGGAGGAGGAGGAGGAGGAAGCATGCGACTCTAGAGCCCAGTTCGATGTCTGAGCTGACTGGGCGCTCCAGGGCTGGCTCACAGCCGGAGGATTCGTGCATGCGCGCGTCAGGAGGAGGGGGAGGCATGTGGAGGAGGGGATCACGGCGTGCCCTTTGGAGGCCTTCCACATGGGGTCCAAGGACACACACACACACATATATAAAATCACACAAATACCAAGATTCCCAATACTTGTTCATATGTTCGGGGCTTTTGTCTTCCCCCCACTTCCCATATTTTCCTATATTTTCCGGGGAGTCGACGATTCACTGTGTCTGCGTGCTTTTGTTCCCCTCCTGACACATGAGGTCCAAGCAGATGTGGCAGGAGGATCACGCCACACCGCCGATGCATCGGCGATGCGTGGGCAACGTCGGCGATGCATCGGAGCCGTCAACGGGGATACAGTCGGGCTCCACATCGAGCCGCATCGCCGATCCGTCGGCGGTGCGGCGCCGACCTCCGATGCCGTCTGCTCGCACTGGACGTTGGGAATCCTGGACCTCCCCTGTGAGGAGGATCGTGGAGGCCTGCCGCGGCACCTCGGGACACCTTTTTCGGGGGCGGCCAAGAGGGGGGTGTCCAAGAGGGGGGGGACCAGGTCATGGCCGGCGGCACGTGCGCGGCCCAGCGGGGGGGCCAGGGACGTGATGAAATAAGAGGAGGCGTCATGACATCTGCGGAGATATCATGGCCCGCGCCATGGAAATTATCCCCCCCCCAGTCATCACCCCCCTCTTTTCCGCCCCCGACTTTTACGTCGGGTCCGCGTCGGATTGATGTACGCCGGGTGCGCCAATTCGACGTCGGGCTCACCTCGGACTCACGTCGGAACATTGCGGAGCGGACGTCGTCCCAGATCTGACGGGGCGGACGTGGGGACTGGAGCCTCCAGGAGGGAGGGAGGAAGGAGGGAGGGAGGGAGGAGGAAGAGGAGGAGGAGGACTGGAGGCTGCTGCAACCACTGCGCGCCGCGCGAGGCCTCCAGGATTTTCATCACGGCCTTCCCTCCGGGTGCCCGCGAGGGGGCTCGCAGACCACGGCCCGAGGCGCGCCCACGGCACAGGGGGGTGACCAGGAGACGTGTCACACAAGAAGAGGCGCCATGACACTGGGGAAGTGAGGCATCACGGCCCCGGCCATGATATCTCCACCCTGGGGGACACCCAGAAATACCGACGCCGCTGCTCCCTGGACCTCTCCTCGGGGTGCGTTCGTGCCAGAATCTCGAGGCGAACCCAGCGGTGACGGCGAGGGCCTCCTGCGGGAGGCCCGACGGGGGCGCCAACGGGGGCAAGGACAGCAGTAGGAGAACCGCTTCCTCCTCTGACCCCTGGCCATCACCCCCCCCTTGTGGCCGCTCCCCCCCGCACGGCGCCCCCGCCCGCGCGTGCTGCCGAGGCGCTCTGCGCGAGCGCCTGGTCCCCGGGCCCCCGTCCGCCAGGAGCGGGCTGCGGCCGCCTCCCTCAAAATGCCCCCCCCCCCCCCCCTGCGAGGAGGCCTCCGGCGCGTCCTGGGGAGGCCACCGGGCCAGCAGGAGAGCCTGGAGCCGGGCATCGCGCCGCCGATCCCTGCCCCACTGTCCTCGCATGGCGTCGCATCGCGCCGCCAGCGTGGCCTGGGCCCTGCTGGCAGTGGTGGGACGGCTCGAAGGCCAGACTGGGTGCTCCGAGGAGGCCTCCGGGCGGCCCCGGCACGGACGGCTGGCAATGCGCGCTGCGTCGCGGCTCTCGATGCTGCGCGCCACTTCGCCAAGCTCCCAGGGAGCTGCTGGTGCTGCGTGGCCGGCGTCCTCGACCCCCGTCCCCGCTGGCGTGGCCTGGGCCCCACTGGCCGACCTGCCCCCCTTGATGGAGATGTGTGCTGCTGCCATCGGGTTTCGAGGCCATCCTCCCCAACTTGGGTGGTGGCCCGGTGGGGCTGAGATGCCCTGGCCCGGTGGGGATAGGGGTACGTCGGCGGTGGACAAACCTCCCTTCATGAAAACGGCCTGGGACCGAAACCGACGGAGCTGGACCCGCACAACTGACGGCCGCGACGCCCTCTCGCGAACCGAGCACGGCCAATTCCTGACTCGACGTGTCAGGGTAGGAGGTCTGTCCACCCCCGAGTACGTTGAACCGCTACTGACGATCCAGTGACCACAGCCTCCCGGGTGACGTCTCCGAGCCCCGCAGGCCGCTACAAGATTGGACATGGGGCGGGAAGGGGTCGTCACCGCGGAGGGGCCGAGAGGTCGGAGGGCGGCACTGCACCGAGCAGGGCCAGGGCAGCACCGGAGGGCGGCACTGCACCGGAGCCGGGCGCGGCAGGGGCCGAGAGCGTCCAGAAGCCACGGGCCCTCGACCCACCAAAGCATCGCCCCCCTCCTCGGGTGCCCCGAGGGTGGGGGGCAGTGAGGGGGGGCGGAAGAGGGGGCCACGGGACGTGTGGAGGGAAGAGAAGGGGGGCCATAACATCTGGGAAACATCATGGTCAAGGCCATGATGTCCTGTCACAGTCCCGACGCCGTCCACAACGAAGCGAACACCGAAAAGCGACCGAACCGACAACGACACCGAAACCGACCGAAGCTGAATCGAGCGAACGCAACTCACAAGAACGCCGCGCCGCAAATCGATGCAACAGACGACCGAACCGAACCGACTGCGACGCAGCCGAACCGACCGAACCACGGACATCCTTGAGTCCCGCCCGCCCCCCTCCTCGCTGTGCATCGTTTGCTCGACCCCTGTCCTCGTGGGCGTGGCCGGGCCGCACTGGCCGATTTACCCCCCCCCCCCCCAGATGGGGACCTGGGCCGTCTCCTCTGGGTTTTGAGGGGCACATCCCCAGCTGGGTTGCCGAGACGGCGGGGTGTCTGGGCGGGGATGGGGATGGGGATGGGGGCCGGCGAAACGACACCAACACTCTCGGGCGGCCCTGGCCCCCCGACGCCCCGCCCAGGCGCGCCGAGAGCAGCCGAAGGGGCGCGGCGGCCTGCGGCCGCCCCCGCAGCTCCGCCAGCTGGGGCCCCTCGGGCGCGCCGCCGCTGCGCGCAGGGGGGCCACAGGCGGTGCGGAAGCGGCCCGGAAGAGTGAAGGGGCCCCAGGACACACAAATACATACACACAACTAAAAAGATTCCCTATAGTTTTCCATATGTTTGGGGCTTCTGTCTTCCCCCCCACTTCCCATATTTTCCCATATTTCCTGGAGGATCGAGGATTAACTCCTCCTCCTCCTCCTCCTCCTCCTCCTCCTCCTCCTCCTCCTCCTCCTCCTCCTCCTCCCTCTCCTCCTCCTCCTCCTCCTCCTTCGAGGATTCATTGTGTCTGTGTGTTTCTTCTCCTCCTGGAGAGAGGGGCCGGCAGCGGCAGGCCCGAGGCAGGACAGCCCAACGTCGGATCGATCAGCCGCCGGCCCCCCTGGCGGGGCCACCAGGCTGCGGCACACAGTCCTCCTCCTCCTCCTCCTCCTCCTCCTCCTCCTCCTCCTCCTCCTCCTCCTGCTCCTCCTCCTCCTCCTCCTCCTCCTCCTCCTCCTCCTCCTCGGGTCGCCTACGGCCCCGGGGGAAACCGTCCAGGTCCGCCCCACATGGACCGCGGTGCCGGAGGAGACCTTGCGTTGGGGGGGTCGCCGTGCGTCTCGGAGGTCGGTGCAGCACACAGTTTTTGTCAGAGCCCCGAATCATCAGGGGTAACTCGGGTCAGGGATAACTCGGGTTCGTTTTTCGGGAATCCAAACCCGAACTACCCCGGACCCGAGTTGCCCCGGACAATTCGGGCGTCCAGAGCCTCACATGATCAGGGGCAACTCGGGTCAGGGCTAACTCGGTTTTTTTCGGGAATCCAAACCCGAGTTACCCCGGACCCGAGTTACCCCGGATAACTCGGGCGCCCCAGCGAGGGTGAGGATTGCAGCTCCCTGTGCCGGTGGCAGCTTCCAGGCTCCACTGCTGCAGTCCTGCTTTTCCTGCTTCCTTATACTGCGAAAGATTGCTGAACGCACGAGGGGGGGGGAGCCCCAAACCAGCTTTGTTACCACGCCCAGATCGCGTTGTCTGAATTCCTGGGGGGGCGTGGGACGCGTAACAATACATGAGATCCGCATCCCCGAGGCCAGAATCCCCAGATAACTACCTCAGATTCGCGTCCACGAGGCCATACACCCTTGTAAATTATATAATATTTGCGCCCGTGAGGCCATAAACACTTTTGAATTATTCCATATTTGCGTCCCCGAGGCCACAAACCCTTCTAAATCACACCAGACTCGCGTCCCTGAAGCCATACACCATTGTAAATTACCCCATATTCGCGCCACCGAAGCTATAAACCTCGTAACTTGATATTGGCCCTCGTGTGAAGTCCCGACATTGCTTAACGTCGGCGTCCGTACATCCCAACACGCTCTGGCACGTCCCATTCTAAGAGAAGGGGGGCCGGCGGCCCCGACGGATAAGATCTGATTGGCGTTCGATTGGCGATCGAAACGAAACGGATCGGCGGGACTGGGCAGCCAAGTCGGGAGAAGACGAATCGGCGGAAATCGACAGGCCAGCGAGGCCTCCATTGAGAAGCCTACAGGTTCAAACCAAAAACCGAAGTCAGAGGAACCAAAGAGCAGCATAAATATAAACGTTCGACGGTCCGCGGGGATTTCGTGGATCTGGGCTGACCCCCCCTCCCTGACGAGTGGAGCGCGCCGGGGGCTCCAGAGCAGATCCAGGACTCCGCGCGGAACTCCGACTATTTCTGCGAATGCAAATCTTCGTCGAAAGTCGGATCGAATCGGAATCGGAACCGATCGGAATCAAACCGAACCGAGTTGGAAGAGGCGAAATGAGCCCTGAGAGGCGGCGGCGAAAGAGACCGCCGCTGGCGTCACCTCCGCCGCCGCCACTGCCGACGCGGTCGTCGTCGCCGCCGCTGGTCACGCCGACTGAGACGAGGCCAGGACGAGGACACATTCGGGTGAGGAAAACTCGGGGATCTCTGAGATCCGGCGGTTCTGGAGGATGCCTCGGGCGCTAAGGCCACCTCAGAGCGCTCCGGAACGCTTGGAATCGAATTCATCCCTGTGCTAGCCCCGTCCGACCGATGCTGCCGTCGACGTTGCCGCCGCTGCCGACGTCGGCACCGTCGACGTGGCCGCCGCCGCCGCCGCGAGCCGCAGCCAACGACGGCCGACCAAAGGCTGCTCGAGCTTAGCTCCCAAGGCCGTTCTGGAGCCCTTCCTGGCCTCTGCTCTGGGCCGAGTCCCGGCGCAGCGACGAGAGCCTGCGGGAACTCTCAGGGAGGCTCCGAAACGGAGACGTCGTCCTCGTCGCCGCCGGCGTCGTTGCCGCCATCCTCGTCGTCGCCCTCTGGCGCCGGGGTGGTCCTTCGGCGCCCCGCCGTAGAGGCATGCGGCCCGCATGCCGGCCATGGCCCCGAAGTCGCGGGCCTCGCTCTGGATCTGCGGGGCGCCGCAGCTCATCGTGGCCGTCGCCGCCGTGGCCGTCGGCGACGCGGCTGGACGAGGCCGTGGTCCGGATCGACGTGCTCGGCGAGCTCGTCGTCGCCGCCGTCGGCGTCGACGACGAGCACGCCGAGCAGGGCCAAGACCGCGTCCAGCGCCGCGTCGGAGCAGGAGGAGGAAGAGAGGAAGGAGGAAAAGGAGGACGAGGACGAGGAGGAGGAAGGAGGAGGAGGAGGAGGAGGAGGAGGGGGAGAAGGAGGAGGAAGGAGGAGGAGGAGGAGAAGGAGGAGGAGGAGGAGAGGAGGGGAGGAGGGAGGGAGGAGGAGGAGGAGGAGGAGAGCAGAGGAGGAGGAGGAGGAGGAGGAGGAGGAGGAGAGGAGGAGGAGGAGGAGGAGGAGGAGGAGGAGGAGAGGAGAAGAGGAGGAGCGAGGAGGAGGAGGAGGGAGGAAGAGAGGAGGAGGAGGAGGAGGAGGAGGAAGGAGGCGAGGAGGAGGAGGAGGAGGAGGAGGAGGGGGGAGGGAGGAAGAGGAGGAGGAGGAGGAGAAGGAGGCGGAGCAGGAGGGAGGAGGAGGAGGAGGAGGGGGAGGAGGAAGGAGGAGGAGGACGAGAGGAGGCGGAGGAGGAGGAGGAGGAGGAGGAGGAGGAGGAGGAGGAGGAGGTCGTCGCGTTCGCCACCGCCCCCGTCGACTGCGCGGCTGCCGCCGTCCCGCGGCACGCCTGCGCCCCCGCGGCCGCAGCACCCCGCTCCCTGCGCCTGCCCCGCCCTGCTCGCCGCTTCCTCTCCGTCCCAAGCTCCACCGCGCCTCCTCCTCCTCCTCATCCTCCTCGTCCTCCTTCTCCTCGTCCTCCTCCTCCTCCTCCACCTCCACCTCCACTCTCCACCTCCACCTCCTCTCCTCCTCCTCCTCCTCCTCCTCCTCCTCCTCTTGTCCTCCTCCTCCTTCTCCTCCTCCTCCCTCCTCCTCCTCCTCCTCTTCCTCCTCCTCCTCCTCCTCCTCCTCCTCCTGCTCCTCCTCCTCCTCCCTCCTCCTCCCTCCTCCTCCTCCTCCTCCTCTTCCTCCTCCTTCCCCCATCGGGGAGCGAGCGAGGCGGGGACGTGAGAAGGGGAAGGTCTTCTCAGTAGGCGATGGGGTTCCTCAGAAGCGCTCAGGCCTCCCGAGAAGTGTTACGCACCCTCGGGGAAGGCTCAACTAAAAACCTCTCAGAGGCAGGGGGACTTCCGAGCCTTCTGAGGAGGGCCCGCCCTTTCTCATTTCGCCCCCGGGCCCGCCCAGTGCAGCGGTCGACGTGATCCAGATTCGATCGTCGACCCTGTGCAGCGGTCGACGTGTTCCAGATTCGATCGTCGACCCTGGAATCGGCGATCCACCGCCGATAGGCACCCGACGGCGCTTCTGAACGCTCTCGGGCGGGGTTGGCCACTCCGGGCGGCGATGAGGGTGCGGGCAAGATCCATGTCCATATCCAGTGTCTCTTGGACTTTTTTGGAAGAGGCGCCACAAGGCCGACGCGCACTGGATATGGATAAAAAACGAGCCTCTAGGGGGCAAATTTCTCCATATCCAGTGCGCCTCGGGTTTCTTGGGAAGGGAGCCCGAAACTCCATATCCATACTGCAGGGCATATAGACATAAAGATTGCTCGCAGAGGGGGCGATCGGGGGGCGGTCGATGCATCCCCAACGCGAGCCCTTCTCCCCCCCCCCCTGCCGCTGCCCCGGAGGTTGACGTGAGGGAGGCGAGTCCTGAGGGGAACGGGCCCTGGACCTGGGGCCTTCCGTTGGTGCCCGACCCATGGGCGCCTGCGTGGCCCCCGGGCGCTGTCCGATTTGGGCCTGATTGGGACCGGATTCGGAACAGATTTGGACCAGATTTGGAGTGGATTCGCGGGGGCTAGAAGAACGAGGAGGAAGAGGGGGAACAGGAGGGGAGAGGAGGAGCAGGAGGATTGGCCAAATGCGGTCCCTGCGCGGTGCAAATGCGGGAACAGCTGATTTCAATGTCGCCGCCCAAGGCTCTCATGAACAGACATCGAGCCTTCCCCAAAGACCAGCTCTTCGGCCCGCTTTGGAGCGTACTCGCATGTTCGCGGCCATCACGGGCGTTACTGTAGCGCCTCCTCCACTCTCCGCCTTGTGGCTCCGGCACCACAGCGCCTGTGCGCATCACAGCAAGCACCAACGCGCAGCACAATATGCACCGACGCAGCCGCGCGCACCACGTCGCCAGTGTACTGCGCAGTGTGTACGTGCAACACCGGTGATTTCCCCCACGCCCTCCTTCGAGCATTGCTCTGTGCTGGTGTTTGCTGGACGGCCAGAGCAACCGGGCGCTGGACGACGACGACGACGACGACGGGAACGGGGACGGGGACGGGGACGACGACCAAGACGATTACGATTTCGAGGATAAGGAGGACGAAGACGAGGACGAATACGACGAAGATGATGACGAGGACGGGAGGACAACGAGGACGACGACGATGAGGACGAGGACGGGGATGACGACGAAGATGAAGACGACGGACGCCTCTAACGATCTCCAGAAGTCTCCAAATGCCTATTGAGCTTTCCGGAGACCTCTGGAGGAATCTGGAGGCTCTCTGGGGCCCTCGACAAAGACGAGGACGACGACGATGACGACGATGGCGAGGAGGACGAGGACGATGACGACGACAGGCACGAGACGAGGACGGGGATGATGACGACGACGACGATGACGGCGAGGACGAGGACGAGGACGAGGACAAGGAGAGGGCGAGGACGAGGAAGAGGACGAGGACGACAGCCGCCTCTGAAGGCCTCCTGAAGTCTCTGAAGGCCTGAGGAGGTCCTCGGAGACCTCTGGAGGCGTCTGGAGGCCCTTCGAGGCCCTCGACGACGACGACGATGACGACGACGACAACGACGACCAGGACGAGGACGAGGACGAGGACGAGGACGTTGACGAGGATGAGGACGAGGACGAGGACGAGGACGACGACGATGAGGACGATGATGAGGACGAGGACGACGGCCACCTCCGAAGGTCTCTGGGGTCTCTGGAGGCCTGAGGAGGTCTCCGGAGACCTCTGGAGGCGTCTGGAGGCGTATTGAGGCCCTAAGCGACGACGACGAGGACGACGACCGCCACGAGCACGAGGAGGACGATGACGAGAACGACGACAAGAGGGACGAGAACGAGGACGCGGACGGGGACGAGGACGACGATGACGACGACTAAAGCAACGACGACGACGTCGACGACGACGACGGTAACAACCACGACGACAATTTCGACGACAAGCACCACACCAGCCTTCGAAGCTCACAGTGGCAATGCTGGAGGCGGACAACGCGGGGGAAGGGGAGGAGCGTTACGCAATGGGGGGGAGAAGGACCCAACCATATGCAGTTGTGAGTACCGTCTTTGTTAGCAGCTCATTCGGTGGGGCTCCCTGTGGGGCCACAAAACGCTGTCCTGGGTGGGGGAGACGCATGCGAACACCCCGCTTGAGGCCTTCGGTGGAGCTCCCTATGGGGCCACGAAGCGCTGTCCTGGGTGGGGGAGACACATGCGAACACCCCGATTCTGGCCTTCGGTGGAGCTCCCAAATTATGGGGCCACGAAGCGCTGTCCTGGGTGGGGGAGACGCATGCGAACACCGGAGAAGGAGGAGGAGGAGGAGGCGGAGGAGGAGGAGGAGGAGGAGGAGGAGGAGGAGGAGGAGGAGGAGGAGGAGGAGAGGAACGCGGGGCGCTGTCTCTTCAAAACGAGGACCCAACACCACAGGATGGATGGGAAAAACCGCACTCTTGAAAGTCCCAGAGCCCGCGCAAGGCCCTCAGGCCCTCAGAGGCAGACAACGGCGGAAACCTCAAGACCCGCCCCCCTCCCCTGAGGTACGACGAAACTGCGAACAATGACGGCGCCGTGGAACATCAGGACCGTATCTTCTTGCGACACTGCTCGAGCCCGGATCGATCGGTGAGGGTCCAACGAGGCAAGAACACCCGGATCGCAGTTTGGCGGACGAGGAACGGTTGGCGGAGGAGGAGGACGAGGAGGGAGGAGGGAGAGGGGAGGAGGAGGAGGAGGAGGAGGAGGAGGAGGAGGAGGAGGAGGAGGAGGAGGAGGAGGCCCCGCTGGCTCCATCGCGACGGCCTCGCGCCGCCGCGCGCGCGCGCGCGCTGGCCTGGCAGGCGAGCTCCCGCGTCGGCGCCATGACGAGCACGGCGGGCGGGCCGCGCGCGTCTGGGGAGCGGCCGGGCAGGTTGTTTTGCTGCTCTCGTGGCGCTCTTCACCACGGAGGGGGCCCAGGGGCACACGAGCAGATGAGAAGAAACAAACTCTGGGATCCCCGATACGTTCCACGTGTCCTGGAGCTACGTTGAAGTCGGGCCTGTCCCCTCACAGGCCGATTCTGGACGAACAATTGAAGATACCCAAAAAAAAGATACGGACAAGTGCTCGAACATGGTCAAAACATAGTCCCAGGCTATTTTTTGAGGGCTCTGTTTGAATATTACCCCTGTGGAGGGGCGGGCCCGACTTAAAGCTACGTCTGACCCCTCCACAGAGGGAGGAGGAGGGAGGAGGAGGAGGAGGAGGAGGAGGCGTAGAGGGAAGAGGAGGAGGTGAGGGAGGAGGAGGAGGAGGAGGAGGAGGAGGAGGAGGAGGCTATTTTTGAAGATTCCCCCTGTGGAGGGGCAGGCCCGACTTAACGCTACGCCTGACCCCTCCACTTCCCACACGGTCCCACACTGTACTCTGGAGTCGTGCGGCGCCCCGCCTATGATGTCAGGTGCCGGCGCCCCGCCCCCCAGGGAGGAGGAGGGAGGGGGCGCAGAGGGAGGGAGGAGAGGAGGAGGAGGGAGGAGGAGGACGGAGGATGAGGAGAAGGAGTAGGAGGAGGAGGAGGAGGAGGGCAGGAGGAAGGAGGAGGGGGGGTGAGGAGGAGGAAGGAGGGAAGTGAAGGGAGGAGGGGAGGCAGAGGGAGGAGGATGGAGGAAGAGAGGAGGAAGAGGCGTACAGATTCGTCGCGCTTCGATGAGAGGAGGAGGAGGAGGAGGGATGAAAGGCGGAGGTAGCAGGATGAGGAGGAGGAATAAAAGAGCGTAGGAGGGAAGAGGAGGATGATAATGATAGGAGGAGGAAAGGGAAGAGGCCGTAGAAGTGAGGTAGGGAGGGAGGCGGGAGGAGGGGGTGTAGGAGGAGGAGGGAGGAGGAGGGAGGAGGAGGCAGGAGGAGGCTGCTACAGGTGCTGTCGGCCCGCCCTCCGCCTCGCCCCCTCCCAACCACCAGGGAGACGAGGGCCGTGTTCACGAGACGGCAAGAGTCAGGAGGGGAACAACACACGCAAACACAACTAATCGTCGATCTTCGGGTGAGGTTGCGGCTCCTCCTCCTCCTCCTCTTTCCTCCTCCTCCTCCTCCTCTCCTCCTCCTCCTCCTCCTCCCCCTCCCTTTTCGTCTCTTCCTCTTCCTCGTCTCATCCCTCCTCTTTCCTCCCTCCTCCATCCTCCCACCCCCCTCCTCCCTCCTCCCTCTTCCCTCCTCCTTCCTTCAGATGGGGTCGGAAGATCAGGCCGCATCGCCGATACGCTGATGGTGCGTCGCCCATGCATCGCCGGTGCATCGGCGACGTCAGCGACGCATCGGCGATGTCGGTGGGGAGGCAATCGGGCTCCGCATCGAGCCGCATTGCCGATGCACCAGCGATGCGGCGCGATCCTCCGACCCCGTCTGCTGTCCCCATGTGGGAGGCCTAGAACTGGGCAGTCGACCGCCGCCGCGAGGGCCCAGGGCTGGCCACTGGCAGAACGCGAATGTCGGGGGCGCGCAAACATGGACGAGCGATCCATGGATATGGCGCGCGGTCGCCAAATCCATGGATCGGGGGAGGCGCCCTCCCCAAAATGCGGCCGGTGCCGCCTCGCTCGGCGGCGGAAATCCGCGATTTCCTCTGGAAACGGGACCCGTCGTTCATCCACGCCCCCTGCAGCCATGTTTGCGACCGCCCAAGAATGGGGGCTGGGCGTTGTGGGAGCGTCGGCGCATCCTGCGAGTGCCGCTGTGGCGGGGAGGAGGAGGGGCAGCAGGGAGCTGCTGCAAGGGAAGCAGGGGGCTGCTGCAGGGGGAGGGGAAGCAGGGGGCTACTGCAGGGGCTTGCAGATTGAATCTGCAACCACATCTGTATCGTCTTCCAAATGCGACACGTGCAATGTAGACTTTTGAACTATTGTTTTATATATTTGTTATTTATATAAAAGACAAAACACTAGCATACAATAAGTGAACATTGTTTCCCCATGCGTTCTGCCGCAACGCCTCTGGAAAACGACCACGGCCCACCAGCGCCACCTGGCTCGCGACCGCGCAAGCAAACGCCCGCGATGGCACAACACGGGCCAGCGGAATGAGCGAAGAGATTCAATGTAGTCGTTTGGACTAGTTTTCTGAATAGTTTAACCTTTTTCAATCGAGGAAGAGGGGCAACATAGGGGCAGCAAAGGGGGCTGCTGCAGAGACACCGGGCGCCCTGCCAGCGCGGCCGCGGCACCGCCGACCTGCCCCCCCCCCAACAAGAGCACGCGGCCGGGCGGGCCAGGCGGAGCGCCCCGCGCGCGGAGGTTCCTGGCCCTGGGGCACACCAACAAAAACACACAAATAAACATATTCCCCATATTTCCCCACATTTTCTGGGTTTCTGTCTTCCCCCCCACTTCCCACATTTTCCTACATTTTCTGGGGAAACGACGATTCATTGTGTCTGCGTGTCTCTTCCCCTGCTGAGTTCCCCCCGAAGGTGCGGGAGAATCCGAACTCAATGCGCTCTGGCATCGGCGCCGCCGGGCCGGCGCCCTTCATCTACGCCTGCTGCTCCTCCCCTGGGTCCCGCTGCTCCTCGCCCTTCCCCTCCTCCTCCTCCTCCTCCTCCTCCTCCTCCTCCTCCTCCTCCTCCTCCCCATCATCTTATCGCCTCCTCGCTCCTCCCCATTTCTCCTCTCTCCTCCTCTCTCCTCCCTCCCCGCCTCCTTCCCCATCTCCTCTCCTTCCTGTGGTTCTCCGGCTCCTCCCGCTACTTCTGCTCCTGCTGCTGCAATTCCTCTCCGTCATCCTCCCTCCTCATCCTCCCTCCTCATCCTACTCTTCTTCCTGATCTTCCTCTCAATATTCCGTCGCATCCTCCCCCTCCTCCTCCTCGTCCTCTTCCTCCTCCTCCCCCTTCTCCTCCAGCTTTCTTCTCCCTCCTCCCCCTCCCCTCCCCCTCGCCCCTCCCCCTCCCCCTCCCCCCCTCCCCCCCTCCTCCTCCTCCTCCTCCTCCTCCTCCTCCTCCTCCTCCTCCTCCTCCTCCTCCTCCTGTGTGCACAGCTCCCCCTTTTCTGGCCGCCGCGCACCACGCGATGGAGTAATTTCGAGGATTCCAGGTCTGGTATGACATCGGTCGGCGCAGTGGGAAGGGATGGGTGGGAGGGGCAGGATGTCAGATCTGGCGCGAGAGCACCCAGCTTGCGTGCTCCCCGCTCCTCGCTGCTCTTCTCATGATGCTCCGACCTACTTTAGCCTTGATCACCAGGAAGAATTTCGAGCGCCGAAGTAAGGACCGAAACTCAAGGGTGTTCACGTGCTGGGCCCTGGGAGACACTCGCCCGACACTGTTTCGACACTCTTTTGACACTTTTCTGGGTGCTCGAACTTATTTCTGGGATGCGGTCCTTCAGCAGGACGGGAACAACATAATGCTTTTCTCTACTCCCTCTCGTTCTCCTCCCCGGTCCCCCGACGCCGTGCGCTGCCGTCTCTTCACGGCGCCCCGGAGCCCCCGACCCCGTCCCCAAGACAACTGCTTGGCTTAGCACCGCCTGCTGCCGATGGGCTGACGGCCCCGAGGCCCTGGACCGGAAGGGTGGACATGGAGAGACGGGGGCGTATCCATATTCGCCGCCTGGGGAACCAACGTCATGGGACCCTGGGGGCGGTAGAGTTAAATCGGGCCTTTCCCCCCACAGAGGGATTCTGGGCGAAAGCTTCAAAATACTAAAAATGTACTCCAAAATGGTCCCCCGAGTGCATTTCCCTCCTGTATAGAGGGACAGGCCCGACGTAACGGTAGACCCGAAGAGGGGGAAAAATCGCCCTGGAACGGAGACCCGCCGAACTCGGCGTCGTTTCGTGCTCGTGCAGTGCGTGCGACGCGAGGCTGCGTGCGCGGAAGGGGGGCGAGGTGGGGGATCCCGCCGCGGCCCGGGCGAGGTCGGGACGGGCCGTCGCTCCCCTGGCCAGTGGGCGGGGTTGGGGCCAGGGTGGTCTCGCGGGTAGCCCCTGCGAAATGCTTAAGAAATCATGGGTTAAGAAATTCATAGTCTCAGAACTTGAATAAACACCCAACGTTTCCATGAAAATCTCAAGATTTACATTGAAACGTTCAGAATAATCGAGACTCTGGCCGAAAACTTAAGTTTTCTTAAGCATCGCCTAAGGTGTAGTCCTGGGGTTGTCCCCTAGCTGTCCCGCCCTTTGTCCCGTGGTTGACCTGTGGTTACCCCGATGGCTCTCCCGATGGTTGCCACGACGGTGATGCCGACGGTGGTCCCGATGGTTATCCCGAGGGCTGTCCCGATGGTTGCCCCGGTGTTGTCCCGATGGTTGCCCTGACAGGTAATTATCCCGAGAATAGACTGATTGCATGATCGTGAATCGACAGACAGACAATGAGGTCGATCGATCGATCGATCCGCCACCGTGTGGCACGAGTTGGAGTGTCCTCAGGACCTTGGCCTATCCTGTAAGCCTCAGTCATCAATCCTGAGGATTCTTTAGGAAACGGGGCCCCTAGCTCTCATATCTTGCGGGGCTCCAAGATTGCTGGGCCACGTCACTCTTTCGGGCCCAAAAGAGCCTCAAGACGGGCCACGAGGGCCCGAAAGACCCCACAGCACTGTTCACGAGGGCCCCCAGGCCACGCAGCGCAGGCATAGCCCCAGACTTGGGCAACTCGCAGAGAAAGGCGCCCACAATATGCATCGGCCCCCATGCCCACAGGCCAAGATTGCGTCGCAGCCCCTACCGCGCCGAATAAGAGTGGATAGGCCCATTGCATGCTAAACCCCGGTGGCCACGCAGCCACTTATACAAAGCGTCCCGAGAGGCCTCACGGAGCCTTCCCGCAAGGGCCCTGACCAGCTTATTTTTTGGGGAGTTCTCCGCGGTTCGAGCTTCCGACGCTCCAGGATGTACCAAGAGGCTCCCGA